AGGACCAGATGATTTTTATTATGTCCTGATATGTAAAACCATAGAACTCAAAGAGGGTATAGTTTCTTTTTCACACGATTGTACATTCATTAACTCAACTTTGAGATTTAATGTTTTCAGTTCTGGACAAAGGAAATGGACTTACAGTCAAAAGACTTACTGTTTAGACTGGAAAGACGAACATGTGGCTCTATCTATACAGTGGTTTGCAGACTTGATTAACATAGATCAACCATGGATGATTGTAATGTATCATGGCTTCAATTTATTGATGTCTGTAAATATATTTCTTGTATGCTTTGGGTGGTTTTTCAGCTTTTTTCTTCTTCTTTTAGAAATTTGCATATTCTTTTTCTTTGTTTTTTGTATTTAGTTAATAAAATCACACTTAAAAATATAGGACTTTATGCTAAGTGCCCTGAGAAAGTTCCTACTATATTTTATTGCTTCTTTCTTTGGTATAATATCTACAGTTGCCTGTTTCCAGAGCAAAATACTATACCCCCCTGAGCATTTTTCCAATTTTGAAAAATTATCCATTTTTCATCCTGGACATAATTTGTATAGCCATAAGATTTCAGCATTGCTGTCTGACTTTGACTCCCAGAATCTGTCAGATAGCCTAGCTTTTGAAAATACTGGTAATGAAAATCAAACCCATCTGGAGGGCACCTGATTGGAGAGGACTGTTTTGTGTCCTTTTGCACTCCGTAAAACAATTTAGCAACTCCAATATTTGGCTGGTAAGGTCCAACCTACAAAGGCAAAAACTTGCCAGTTTTTTTGCTCCATTTGTGCCTCTGCTAACTTCATTTATTCCCACATGCATCATCCTATCCCATTTTTTACAAATCAATAATCAAACATAAGACATGAAGAATATTTGTCACCAACTCAACATTTCCATAAAGGACAGATGTTTCATAGGAGTATAATTTAACATGTATAAAATGGAAAAGCCTACTAGTTAAACTATACTGTGTGCACAATTATTAGGCAAGTGAGTATTTTGACCATATCATCATTTTTATGCGTATTTTCC